GAATGCGTCATCGCCTGGCACGATTCATCATCGATTTTTACGCGGTTACGGGAAGGATAGGAAGAACACTGACGTGCGTGTCGGTGTGCACACGCGTGGGTGTTCTCGGGCGCGATTAAACTTCGTTTGATAGTTCGAATCGAAAACGCGAATTTAGAGTAGAGTCACCGTTTTTCTAACACTCGCGTGAATGAACGCGAGCGTGATTTAAAAGTCCTACCGGGGACTTCGTTTAAATTTGCTCGAATATTCGATTAGATTACCTCGCGAACGCGTTTTTTTAGAGTAGAGTCACCGTTTTCCGAGCACTTGCGTGGGTGTCCGGGCGCGATTAAAAGTCCTACCATGGACTTCGTTTAGTGTTGAAATTCGGGGTGCGCGAACGGTTTACCTTGTAGTGCTGTACATAGCTGGCTGATGTTATGACAATCCTAATGTTTGGTAGCGGGGCGGAAATCCCGACAAATATCATGGAAAGTCTAAATACCGGTTAGCATATGTCACTTTGGATTTCAACTTAGAGTCATCGTTATTCTAACACCCGCGTGGGTGTTCGCGTGCGCGATTAAAAGTCCTACCGGGGACTTCGTTTTGTTTGTTCGAATATTCGATTAGTTTATTTAGAGTAGAGTCACCGATTTTCGAACTCTTGCGTGGGTGTCCGGGCGCGATTAAAAGTCCTATCATGGACTTCGTTTTAGTGTTGAAATTCGGCGTATGCTTCGGATTTCAACTTAGAGTCACCGTTATTCTAACACTCACGTAAGAGTTCGCTTGCGCGATTGAAAGTCCTACCGGGGACTTCGTTTTATTTCTTCGACATATCGATTAGATTACTTCGCGAATTTGGATAGAATAATAGAATCCACGTAATTATAACACACGTGAGTGTCGCGAACGCGATTAATGCGCTTTGATTGTTCGAAATTCGGATGCACGAATACAGATGTGCTTAATAATCCGTTATGCCTGAGGCGGAGGGTGTCGAACGGTTAAGCTTTCTGTAAGTGGAGTCCCTGTAGCTAAGGCTAGATACTTCCTGTTAGCTTTGTCCCATGCCCAAGATATCCGAAGCGGAAGGCATGAGGGATCGGTATCGCGGTACGCGAATTTTAGAGTAAAGTAGAGTCACCGTTAGCCCGTGGGTCTCCACATGCAGCAACCTCCACGTGGTGAGATCTGGGTCGATAGTATTTACGATGTATTGAAATCTAATGGTAAATCACGCAACGCAAATACTATCGAGCGAATGGCTGCATATTTCCATCTATTTTCTAAATCCCTTCTATCTGTTGGTTTGTCTGAAATGTTCATGCCGTTTTTTTCATTACGTTACCTACCACAAATCGGTACGAACTTTCCGGACAACCCAATAATTATGATTAAAAATAATACTTCTACAGGGAAAGAGATAAAATATATTTAATTTCAAAGATAATTTTTTGTAATTCTCAAATTTATATGCTAATTATCTAATGTCAGAGTCACACGATAAATACGTTCCAAATTATTTCAAATATTGTAGCGCTAGATAATATTGGAGGCTATTATGTAGATTTTGGTCCTAGTATTATCGTAATATTCAATATCCAAATGTTATAACAAAACGGTTATTTATTGATTTGTACTGTAATATATACAACAAAAATGAAATATTGTAATACATTTTTGCACTAGTTGCAAATGATTTTTTTAGAATAATGTACATAATTAAAACTAAATATATCATAAATACTTCTTAGTATTATGCATAATTTTTAAGTCATATAAAAATTTATTCAATTTTTATTTAATTCATCCAATTACAATGCCAAATAAAGAACTTCTCCAATGGTGGAGTAAATAGATTACATAGTTTTTCATCAGCTGACAAAGACGAACATGAAGAAAAAATTCTAAATTGGCATGATCAATTATATCCAACAATGGATGTACAAAGTGTACAAAGAATTACATATTACAAAGCAATCGTGAGTATTTCTTATAGAAAAATAATACAATAGCAGGCTTTTAAAATGTATAACATTAAACATTTTTTAAGATAAACATACATCAAGTTTGATACGTATATAAAGAATTCCAATTATGATTACTTATGTGCAAGTAGATTCATTAAGTCAAGTATAATCATAATTGACATTGACGTATATACGTTTGCATTACATAGCCATATTTATAAGTTTGTAATACACTTAACTAGTTATGTATGTTTATGCTGTTAGCATAAAATTTTGGGTATAATCATATTCAATCGTAGGTATAACAGATTGTACGAATTTTAAAAATATTATGAGATACATGTGGACACCAAGCTCCCGGCCACCCTCCATTACTGTTTCTACAATTTTCTTCATTACCTCAGCATGTCTATGTAAATATTACAATGGAAAATATAACTCATTTGTATAAAACGTTTAAATAATATCGTTTCTTAGTTAGATAGCACATAATTAATACCTGCATGGATGAACAGAAGCCATCGGTGGTCCAGGCAAATGAGGATGTATTTCCATTGTAACAGTTTTTTTAGCATGATCTTGACTAACATCTTCATACATTTTTTCTACTGTAAGTGGTTTTCGATTCTACAAAATAATTTATGTACTAATTTTATTTAGTTAATTACTAACTATAAAAACTGTTATATATATATATACATTATATATATATATATACACAAACCTCATCATAACCACAAAGCCACAATCGAGGTGTTTGGTAATATTTATCATAGGTAATGTATAAATCATAGGTGCGTGTATGAATAATTTCTCCTTCAGAAAACAATTCTGTTTTCTCTTTTGCAGTCTTTTTTGAAGTTTCAGCAGTGAACTATGACATTTTATCAAAATAATATATTAATTTGTTAATTATTACATAATATATTAATGAAATATTTAGTATGTTTCTTTGTACCTTGTCTTGTTCATCAAGCATGCCACTTATTTCAAATGCTTCCATATCAGCAGCTTCTTCATCATCTTCATCACCTTCACAAGAATCATTTTCATCTAATGATTGAATTGGTTGATTTTCTTCTAATGTCATTTCAGTTACTCTGTCATCTATACCACCAAAAGTTGTATCAAAGTGATGAGTGTCAACCCATCCACCCTCAGGATCATCAGCTTCTATAATACATTCTTGTTCTTTGCTGTATTCAATCTAAATTTAAATAAAAAGATTTGTATTTGTTCTCACTTAATAACAACGTAAATATATAACTAATACCTGTTTACATCTGCGTGTACAAGGAACATTGCGAGTAAGTAAGAATTGTTTTTCTTTTGGCAAATATGACTTTGCTCTATCTTCATCACCTGTAGCCCATTGCCAAGTAGGGCAATGATGTACAAGATGATCACCAGCAGCTACAAATTCTTCTGGTGTTAATACACCTGTTTCTCTAAACTTACTTTCCTAGAAAATTAAAAAATATCATAATTATTTTAATATTCTGATAATTATTATGATAATACTTAATAAACATCTTTTTTCTGATTGTTTAGAAAACAAGATAGTACAAGAAAAAATATAAAATTATACCTTTAACACAGGGGTTAAGTATTCTGCGACACCCAATGCTGTACCTTTTACAGAATTTATAACACTTTGCATTATAGACAAATTCGTGCAATTTCTTATCGATAAGTGATTCTGTTTTGAAAATATAATAATTTAATTTATTATTTACAAAAAATCACAGTGCATGCCGGTATTTAATAAACAAGTCTGCTGATTTTTTATGACAGTATTAGACAATACAAAAAGGTAACGCTTCCTTTTTGCTTGTCGCCTTCTTACTGTTATCGATTCGCGTACCACAATCTTTCATTCGTACGTGACTTCGCATGACAAAATTACAGCTGGCTATTCGTTAGAATATTAGGGTGATTCTAATGAAAATATTCGTTGCACTAAAAGTAAAGCATTTTGTTCAATTTCTATTTTCATTGGATAATTATATAAGAAAATATATTTAACGGAATGCGTACGCGTCTATAAGTAAACTAATGTTTTTTGAATTACTTACAATATTTATATGGATTTATATTTAGATTATAACTTTTGCGCGCGAATATATCTATTCTAATATTAATAATAAAATTGTAGTAATAAAAGATAAAGTGAATCTTCCAATGATTTCACGTGTGGTATATTTTGATTGGTCACACAAACAAAATGTGGTAAAGCCAATAACATTACCACTACTATTTTAGGATTATTTATAAAAAGTAGATACTTTTCGTAAAAGAATTTGCACGATTGTGTGATATATAAAAATAATTTTTTAGTGATAAATACGATTAACATGAGATAATGTGAAATCTTACATATAAGAGATTATGAACTTGCCGATGAGATCCTGTACATGATTTTTAACGTGACACACAAATTGGTCTTTATAACACACATATACATAAACTGTTTGCCTTATATATGAACTTCTACTAGAAAGTTACAGTATTATATACGTCAAGACAAGTTTGCAATCGAATTTGAAATAAGATTGAATGGTAAGATCAGTTTACAATTCATTGCATAATATTTTACTTGTATGACAGGTTATATTACTTCGTTTGAATTTTTGGAACACGGATAAGCAGAACTTCGCAATCAATTTAAATATCATTTTAACTCGTTTCTCGTAAGATGTTAAATGTTATTTAATAATTCTTCTAATTTTATTATTCGCATGATGCTTTAGTCATTTTATGTCGGTTGTTTTTAGTTTCATTCCAGACTTTTACTGTTACTTACCTGTGTGTCAATACCTAAAATCATCCTTACATTCGCCCACCATTTTTAGTATATGTTTATCAATTATAATAATCGTTATATTCCTATTATTTTAACTATCCACAGCGCCTTCTTCTATTCTTCGCAACACATTTTTCAGTGGTCGGATTAGCTAAAGATTTAGTTTTTTAAGTATGAATATTTTTAGGTTAGATCAACGAAGCTTAATGCTTATGCAGATGGAAAATTATTTGTATCACCTGTAATATAACTGTACGTTATAATTTTGATAATATTACCAACTACATTTATAAAAAAGCAATGACATCTGAATATCGTACGTAACATAAAAATGTGGACAATTTAATGGTCTACTAAGAAACTATAAATTTAAAGGTAAAGGAAGTGTCAGATGATCTCTTAGTTCTTTTTTTTAATATACTAGAAAATAATTCTGACAATATTACTTTTACATTAGATTTATTTTTATATTATTTTCATTTGTTTTTCCGTAATAGATATTTATTGAATATGCTTTTTTTATGAAATACATTCATTAGATTGTACGTTCAATTAGTACAGATAACGCAACATGGACTGTTAAGTACATACTGTTGCAACTGTTGAAATTACTTATTTATTTTATGTATAATGTAAAAAATATATACATCTTGATATTTATAAACACTTGTCACAATATAATAGTATACATTTTTATAGCTTTTTTTGGAGACTTCATTAGGTATAAATGCTATATATATATATATATTAACATGTTGAAAAAATGTATTCTGATCTACTTTTAATGTAATATTAATGTTTTATGTTTGTTATCTTATTTAGTATATTTGTTGAGTTTCAATATATTTTTAAATGATGAATAATAGTAAATGAATATATATTTTTTTTTGTATTAACAAGTTCCATTAAAAATGTGTTAATACATCCATAAAAATACAAAAATAATTTTATAGTTATACGCATACATTTTTTTTCTTTTTTCTATATATATATATTTACATCAACAATATATCACATGTCATAAAATTTCATAATATTTACATGGAAAACTAATATGTTTAATATTTTGTTTTTATTATAATTTATCTTCCACGAACTTGTACATATTTTTGTCATAATATAATACATTATTGCATTGCAGTATTGTAAGTAATTACTTTATATTTGAATACAATTTATACAATATACAAATAGAATTTAAAAATAATAAGTATTATTTATGTAGAAATTAATTATTTTATTAATTGTAACTTTTCTTTCTAATTTATTTGATATTTTTTATATTTTGCATAAATATATGCATAATTATTTAAAAACAGTCGGATTATTCTTTTTACAGGATATCTGAAATCTGGAAACATTGCATCCTGATTGGTACCTACCACATTCATGAAAAAGGTTTCAGTTACTATGTCAAAGTCCTTCTTACATTTTATACATGATTAGTAATACCAAAACCACATAACAGTCTACTTTTATTTTTCGCACATGATCCACAAGGTGTGCATCTTATAAGAAACATGCCTCTGTTCGGAAAGTCTCAAAAAAGTCCGGCGGAGGTGGTAAAGGCTCTCAAGGAAGCAGTAAATGCATTGGAGCGGGGTGATAAGAAGGTAGAAAAGGTATGTTGCAAGTATACATTTCGGTTTCTATGATGAAATACGTTCGCTTTTAGGCTCAAGAGGATGTCAGCAAAAATCTTGTACACATAAAAAATATGTTATATGGAACTGCTGAAACTGAACCACAGGCAGATATTGTTGTGGCTCAATTGGCACAAGAATTATATAACAGTAATTTATTGTTATTGCTTGTGCAAAATCTAAGTCGTATTGACTTTGAGGTATATCTTATTTCAGTGAAAAAAATTGTATATATTATTAATAAAGATCATTCTGTATATTTTATTAAATGTCTATATAACTTTTGTATTATTTAGGGAAAAAAAGATGTTGCTCAAGTTTTTAATAATATTTTAAGAAGACAAATTGGAACAAGATCTCCAACAGTGGAATATATATGCACCAAACCAGAAATCCTGTTTACTCTTATGTCTGGGTAAATTCATTATTAAACTGAATCACCATAAAATTATATTCAATTAAAAAATAAATTGAATTATATTTACATTTTATTTTAGTTACGAGCATCAAGACATTGCATTAAACTGTGGCACTATGTTACGAGAGTGTGCAAGATATGAAGCATTGGCAAAAATTATGATATATTCAGATGATTTTTACAATTTCTTCAGATATGTAGAGGTGTCTACATTTGATATAGCATCTGATGCGTTTTCTACGTTTAAGGTACGTATAAATGTACAATAAATATTTAAACAAATATGTATATATACAACATTAAGTAATATTATATTATACTAATTATACCATTTGTTGTAGGAATTACTTACAAGGCACAAAATTCTAAGTGCTGAGTTTCTAGAAGTTAATTATGATAAAGTTTTTTCTCATTATCAAAGGTTATTGAATTCTGAAAATTATGTAACAAGACGACAAAGTTTGAAATTGTTGGGTGAGCTTTTGCTTGATAGACACAATTTTACAGTATGTATTTATTTTAATAATTACATGAAATATTAAATATATTCTTCACGAAAGATTCATCTTCCCATAACGATTATTCCAGGTTATGACACGATATATTTCAAACCCTGATAATCTAAAACTTATGATGAATATGCTTAAAGAAAAATCACGGAATATACAATTTGAAGCATTTCATGTATTTAAGGTATGTCATCTATTTTGTCATAATAATTAATATGACCATATAAAAATTATGAAACAATATTCGTATTTATACAGGTATTCGTTGCTAATCCAAATAAACCTAAACCAATTCTTGATATACTTCTTCGTAATCAGGAAAAGTTGATAGAATTTCTAACGCGCTTCCACACAGATCGTTCAGAAGATGAACAGTTTAATGATGAGAAAGCGTACCTAATAAAACAGATCAAAGAACTTAAATCTGTACATGAAAATTAAGTCAAAAATACAACTACTGCTACAGCTACTGTTATTATTACAATCAACTCTATTGCTATTACTGCTATTCTACTATTACCACCAATGTCGCCATTGTGGCTATTTATTATTCTAAGACTATATTATTCAATTAGCATCATCACCATTATCATCATCATTATCATCATTAATGTTATTTTTTAGTATCGCCACTGCAATTATCATCACTATTATCATAATTATCATTATTTTCATCATCATTATCATTCTTATTGTAATATTATTTTTATTACATTAATGTTGTTATTATTATATTATATTATTATTATATTATAATTATTATTATTATTATAATTATTATTATAATTATAATTATAATTATATATTATTATTATTATTATTACTATTACTATTACTATTACTATTACTATTACTATTACTATTACTATTACTATTAATATTACTATTGTCGTTTCCACCATGTGATTTCCATCATTATCTTCATCATCATCATCATCATCCTCATCATCATCATTATCATCACCGTCGTCGTCGTCGTTGTCGTCGTCGTTGTCATCATTATTTACAATAATAGCATTATCATGCTCATCTGCATTGTCATAATGATTAACTATTACTTTTATCATGAGCATCATTGTCATCATTATGTCATTATTACTGCTACTACTACTGCTATTATTGCTACTACTATTGTTAGTAATGCTACTATACAATCAGTTAACTTTATTTTCAAATAGTTGTGTAAATAAAATTTACATTTATCACTTATTATTGTATCATATAAAGTTGAGATGATGTTGTAATACTCTATATTTCCATTAATGAGTTGATTATTAAAGTAAATGGTATGGCAGCTATAAGAAATTATCTTTTAATTTTGTTAGCATTCCTTTAACAGAACAACCAAATTTACTGAATACTTTGTTTTGTTAATATTGCAGAAAATACAAATACAGCAAATAAGTTACTTTAAAAATTTTGACAATTTTGACATTTATTTCTCCTCAATGAACTACACTTACACATGTTTATATCAATATTTATTTACATTTTTATTTCCAATAAAACATAATTTCGATATATATATATAGAATTTCTGCAGATAATCTTTCACAGATATAAATAATTTACAAATTGATCTTTGTTTCTAAAAATCTATTTAAAAACAACAAATGGTATTTCTACATTTATGTGACCATTAACATATAAGATTAATAGAGTAATTTCATCAAGTTTATCTAATATTAAATTTACACTTAAAATCTTACATTTTGCTAAAAACTATAAAATAAAGTCTTATTTTACATTAACAAATTATCAACATAGGAGAGATATGACAGTTCATGAGAAATGAAAGTTTCACTTATTGGTAATCTAGCACATATTTGTATTTTTATTTATATGTATTCTGTTTCAAGATAAATATTCTTTTATGTCCAGTTGTTCAAGTATTGCTGTTATAGCATTCTCAATAGTTGTAAATATACGAAGTTGTTTATGGAAAAGTGACCAATCAGGTTTACAACTTGGAAGTAAGTTAGTTTGCTTTCTTAACATTTCTGAATAATGTGTGAGCTTGTCTTTTCCTTTAATAATCTTTTTATATATAGAATTTAATAACCAGATAGACTGTGAACATGTTGTAAGTGCCTATAAATGAAGAGATATTGAATGAGTGGATTAAAACAAAGTAATATAAAAAATAATAAAAAAGATGGGATACATTGTATTGATATTATAATTATATAAATAAAGAGTTACCTTCTTATATTCTTCCTCATTTATGAGTAACCACATTAGTGTTGCTACATGTAAAGATAATTCTTCATGATCCAATTTATCATGTAATAGTTTTACTGTTGGTAATGCATGTCTTGGCTATTATAAGGTTAGTAAATAAAAATATATATAATGATTAATAATAATTAATTCTATAATCTTATATTTTATATAGTAATGTATATAAAATTGAAGTATGATCAACGATACTTAATCATAACATAATTATATTATTTAGATATATATTTAAAAATAATGATTATTTATTCTTACCATACAGACATAACTCCTTGTTGGTGGAAACTTAGCAAGTGTAATAAGTATATCTGTTGCTCTTAAACAGACTATTGCCCAAGGTAATGATCTATTACTTCTAATATATGTTTCATAAATATTGTCAACCAAGTTATACTCACATAAAGTAATGCACTCCTTTGGTGATAATCTAGTTATCAGACCTGTATAAAATGTTTATATCAGTGTCACTGTAATTTAAGCTTATATTTTAATAAATATATTATTAACCTAATGAAGCAAGACACATTGAGAGCTGACCAATCTTGTTGAATTTTTTAAGTACATCAATTGATTGTTGATAACGATGTGCTAATGTTGCATGTGGTGACGCTGTTATTGTGGCTGTTTTTAATCTTTGCCGTACTTCTGACATATGGACGGATTCTTTTTGCCGTATTCGATACCCTTTCCATGCAGCCTGTATAATTGTAGCTGCTAATGTTTCCTTTTTAGTTCTTAAGATAATAATCCACCATTTTTCAATTATACTAACTGCACGAATTCGTTTTTCATAATATAAACGTTTTTCACGTATATTTCTCCACCATCTTTGAATTTTTATAACTGAAATTATTATATTACGGTACATTTGTCGCACAGTAAATTGTAAAAGATTTTGTCCTTCGTTTTTATCTTTAAAATCAATAAATTTACAGCTTTTTACAAATAACATTTGCCACCACCAGTTTTGAATTGTTTTAGCAGCAGAGTGATACATTTTTAATTCGTTTCTTTGTGCTCTTGCTGTTAATTTAGCCCGCCACTTAACTTGCAGCCATATAGTAGCTTTTTTTAAAGCATCATATTCCTGAGCAAATTTTCTGCTAATTTTATCTGATCTATAACGACGCTGTATTTTAATTGTTACAAATTTCAATAGTTCATAATCTGAATGAACTTTTTTGCCTATAACATACGCTCGCCAATGAGCTTGTATTGTTAAAACTGCTTGTTTTTCGGTAATGAATCTTTTGCGTGCTACTTTCATTCTCCAATATGATTGTATAACGATTGTACTTTGTCGCAAACGGATATACCATTGTCTAATATGACAACTAATTTTATTAGCTCTATATAAAAGTTGGATATAAATAGTAGCAGATTTCAGAACACGGAATCTATAATGTTCTTTTTTAGCCTTTTGCAAAGCCCGCCAACGTTTTTGTACTTTTATTATACATAATTTCAATTTTTTATATTCTCTTTGTTCTTGTCTCATTATCAATATAGAACGCCATTTTCTTTGTAATACAATGGCTGCTACGTTCCGTTTATGTAATAAATACTTGTATTGTTGTTTAGTTTTGATCATTCTCCACCAAGCCTGAATTACTATACACGCTCTTTTTTTAGATAGATATTGTTGTCTAATTGATCGGGAAAGAATTATCGCACGCCACCATTTTTGCAATGACATTGTTGCTTTGCGAAGTTCTAAATAATTATTTCGTTGCTTTTGAGTAATATTAATATTTTTCCACCAATGTTGTATACATATTGCAGCATTTTTCATTTTTAAAATATTTCTATGAAAAACTCTTTCTACCGTAATACACTTATACCATGCTTCTATTTTCACAACAGCTATCTTTTTTTTTAAATATTCATTTCTCGCTAATGTTTTCCTCCAATACTTTTGAATAATAACAGTTGATCTGCATAGAGTTTGATATTTTTTTTGTTGTAGAACAACTATCCACCATCTCTCAATTGTACTGACAGCGTCTTTCATAATCACGAAATTATTTCTTTCATGTCTCATAATTAAAATACTTTTCCACCATATTTCTATTGTACGAATAGCCTTTAATTCTTTACATTGTTCTTTCTTCATTTTATCATACATTTTTTTAAATTTCCATCTATTCTGAATGAAAACAACAGTATTTTTGTATTTTATATAATTCATACGGTCAAATTTCATTAAAAGAGTTGCTCGCCAATATGTTTGAATCACAATACATGCAATTCTCATGTTAATATAAGTCACTCTCTGTACTCTCATTTCTTTTAACGCTCGCCACTGTCTCTGTATAACGATCGAAGCATACCGTTTATTGTGAAAATCTTGAACATCTAGTTTACACTCGTGTATTCGTTTCCACCATCTTTGCAATTTTATTGTAGCCGACCTAATGTGTAAAAATCTTTTACGATCGCGAATTCCACGTATTGAATGTCTCCATATGTTCTGTAAGAATCTAACAGACTTTTCTTTTTTTTGTAATTCTCTTATATATTCATCTCTTAAAAAGATTAGTTTTCTTCTGATCAATGCTCTTCTCCATGCTCGCTGTATAATACAGGCTGCATTATTTTTATATGTTCGTGTATAATTCCTTATACGAACATACCATAGTACAGCACGCCACCAGTTTTGTATACATCGTGCAGCTTTTTCGAATCTTGGTGCTTGATATTTGTATATAATTTGCCATAATAACGATAATGTTTTCTCCTTATGTCCATCAGCAATACTTCTTGCATCAATGTTACCAGTTAAAGCATAGCTACATTGCAAAAGTGCTTTCAAAGCAATATCAACATTGTGTATCTTTTGTAAACGTGAAATCGTTGGCATTCTACACTGGCGTGTTAAGTCCGATCGTCCACTGATTAATTCCATAACTCGACAGAGTCTGACACCATCTCGTAAATCATTTTGAATACTTGTTACAGCATAATCAAACTCATCTAAATACGTTTGCTTATATGAGACAACATATTCATATGATCTCAAAACCTTAGTAAGATCACCAATACCGCTTAAGACTTCTCGAGAAAAAGCTAACAGGATGGCTCTGCTATCTTTAATATTTGCCTTTTTATGAAATAAGCATGGATCGTGGCGAATAAGTTTGTTAATCTTAGAATAATCTAAGAAGTAAACTAGAAAAAGAAACTTCTTTAACATAAATTTATTCATTTGAGTTATGAATGCCGTTTGTTGCTGTTTTCTATGATAAGCATTTGGATAATTTTTTTTCAAAAAAGGATCAGTAAAGAATCTTGTGAGAATAAATCTCGTAAGACCAACCAAATCGTTGTTAGAATGTAATGGTATATTTTCACCGTAGATGGTTTCTAATCCAATTCTTAGCCATAATGGATTATAACTTAAAAATAATTCCAGCATTTCTTTTTGTAACCCTAGAAAAATTAGTTTAATGAAGTTAACAGAAAATAAAGCAAATTGAACAAAAACGATCATAGTACTTTTTCATATAATTTAATAATTTACCAATATCTCTATGCAAGTCACGATCCAATCTTATAGTCAATATTCCCTTTTCTATACAAACGGTTGTACGCGATAACACATGAATTATTTCTTTTTTGCGATACATAGCATTTGCAGCTTTTCGTAATGCATTCAAACGTAAATCAGTATGATATCTGATGAATCACATATACTAATGAGTATGATAATTATAATCACATTATTGTTTTAACTAAAAATTATATAGTTACATTATATAGAGGTATTTACCTTGCTGAAAGAGCTTCTTTAGTTTCAGCTAAAATCGAATTTTCCAGCAGTTTACATGATTGCCATACTTTGCCAATGTCAACACAACTTGTTTCCACGTCGGCATTCAAGTCCTCAGGTGGAGATAATAATGCATTTAACCATTTTTTAAATGTAATCTCTTGATTGTACACCCATTTTTCATCATAATACATTGTACTACAATTGAAAACACAATTATTATATTATGTTATAATTATTAATACTGAATAACAAAAGTCTAAATAATACAAAATCTGTACATCTTACCTACTAAGAAATGGATCCTCTGTAACACATGCTGCAAATGGATCAGGATTACAAAATTTAGTAAATAAATTATCTGTATCTTGAAGTTTAAAATTATTCTCTTCAGATTGATTCGACGCTATATCAAGATTTTTTTTCTTTATCACATTTGCCAATGATAGTTTACTGATTCTAACTCCTGGTATTGATACATTTACATTTTCTGAAATTAATATAAAAATTAAATATATTTGTGCAAATAATTATATATTATTAATATTAATTATATATAAATTATATTATTAATTATTTACTCTTAGCGGGAGTATTTGAGTAAACTTTTTTTTTAATAATTCTCTTATGCATAAATTTTTCCTTTCCATGTTGTCCATATTTCTTTGGTGATATCTTACGTGATAATGTCTTAGCATGAAAATATCGTTTAGGAGGTGATATTTCTATACAAATTCCTGATGATTTTTCTGTATCAAAGGTTTGTGTTTTGTTTAATGTTACATTTTCCGATGTATTTATAAATCTTTCCTGAACGGTTGTTCCAAAATCAATATTTCTACGTATTTGCATCTTTGTTTTATGGTTATTATTACCTTTGACCCATAGGTCTGCTTCTAAGACATCTTTTACAGTCGCTTGATCTTTATATTTTGTAGAATATTGCTTTGTATTAAAATTTGAAGTACTTGGAATTGGCGAAGATGAAGGTAAGACTCCTGTACAGGGAGTATTAGCCCATTCATTTCTCAAAGATTTAATTGGCGACAAACTATTAAAATTTTCAGATAATTGTTTTGCTTGCCATAATTCTAGATTTTGTGTTCCAATAGATAAATCTAATGATCTATTTGACATATTATTTAGATTTTGATTTGATATGCTATTAATTGATAGCATGGGACTTAGATTATATGTTCCATTTCCGTCAGTTTGTACAGACATTGTTTCTACATAATTATCTGTATAATTATTACAAACGGATGTATCCTTTGTTGAGGTTCTGCGCTGATTTGATAAAGTTTCTAATACATTAGTAGGTTCTAAGGCAAGATTATTCATCAAGATTGAAAATTCTGATGAATTATTTAGAACTTGTGGGGATAGTGAATCTTCATATATCTCTTTTCTATCTGTAATAGAAATATTTTTGGAATGTACAGTTTCCTTCACATATGTTTCTCTACGTATTTCTATATCTTCTAAAATAGTGGAAGGAATGCTTTGCATCTGATTTACGAACTCTTTTTTGTTATTAGAAAGTTTTTGATCTGTATTTACAACAGTTAAATTAAAAGCACTAGAATCAATAAATTTTAAAAACTCATCAGATTTCTTCTTTGGAAAAACATTATCACATTCTTTTTTAAAAGATTCTGTTGTATGTTTAAAATTCATACACATATTTGCAATATTCTCTTCATCTTGAATATTTTGCAATTTTGATACGTCCTTTTGTATTTGCTTATCAAAGCTTGAAAAGCTTTCTTGGTATGTAGTCTTATTTCTGAATACACTATTTTCTTCATATGTTTTTCTACTTCTATTTGTTAATTGTCTTGATGATAGAGGTATCAAAGGCTGTTGTTTATTACATTTTGTTGTAGAATTTTTAGCAGTAGTTATAATTGCTACATCATATTTAATTCTCCGACTATCTGTAAATTGTAATACATCTCGCCAACAACCAACTTTCTTAGGAGACCATTTGATAGATATTACAGTATTGCTATTACTTTGGACTGTTGCGTGAGATATATCTAAGTCTATGTACCGATCTTCATCAGGCTTCTTTGTAACTGTTATCTAGGACATAATGTAGAATTTTTTTTTTTTTTTTTTTTTTTTTTTTTTTATAGTATTTACATACTTACAGTTAAGGCTTTATTACTTATATTTTTTATAGTCAAATAACATTGTACAGTTGTGTTTACAAAAGTTTCCATTGTTATCCTCGTTTGAGGTTGAAATGGTCCCAATACTAGAGTAAAATGTAAGTCATTAGTGCTCCTGTCAAAAGACTTTGTATCCTTTTTACTTTTTGGTGTAACATTAATCTAAAATCAAGAAATTCACTTATACTTCATGTATTATTTATTTTTAACCCTTAATTCGTAAACGTTTTTACGATCACGACAAAACATAAATGTCATTGTATTAACGACACATTTTTCAATGGGTCAAATTTTGAAAAAAAATCTGAAAAAATTCATATAGCATCTTTAAACCTTCTAAATAAAGATTAAAATAAAAAATGTATGCAATGATTTCTATAAATACATTATTATTACAAATATATAAAGTATACTTTTCACACTTTTTAAATTTGCTCAAACAAGAAAATTTCCGGTTTACGAATTAAGGGTTAATTATTTATTTCGCAAATTCACAACAAAGACACGTGAATATAAATGAAATATAACGTGTTCTCACTTGAAAGAACATTATCTTCAACTAAAAAGTAATTAATTTCTTTTATTATTAATGACAGATGCGTAGCAGTCACTGACGGTTTTAACGATACTTCGAACAATTTGAATTCAAACGCTTTTTCAAACTGTTCCTAAAAACATCCACAGGACTACTTCACTAAACCCAGAAAATGTTCCTAGGCAATAATCATCTGAACAAAATACATAATATCTTCTTTAATTTATAAAATATGTATTAAGACAGTATTTTATTAATATATGAATTAATCGCAAGTGAACAATTTTTATTAAATAAATCGCTTGTTCCAATTTTTTGGTGGCTTTTTTTGGGTCTTTTCACTGTTACGAGCCTGAGCTCTGGATGGTATCCTTTTGAAGTTTTTTTTATAATACGATTCTAAATACTTCTCCATGGCAATTGCGATATAAAATTTTCCTACAACTTGCAATTTTAAATGCGACACAGAATTATAAAAGTTGATGAATTTTATTGTATTCAAAGTAAGTACACAAACTAGAGGATCCAATCATGATTTTATAGTTATTATTAAGGATATTAAATCATATAAAAATATTTACACTTTTTATTCGTTTTCAACAATAGAGTCATATTAGTAAAAATCCATTGTCTACTGGTTCTTAAACATGGATTAACGAGTAAATAAATGAATACATAAATATTATATTTATATAAAAAATATAATTTTATGCATATATAAAATGTACAATGTATTTATGGTTACATAATGTTAGCATAGGATAAAAAAGAAATCATGAATATCTTATGTATAAAATAAGGAAGTAATCCTTATTGTTTTTCTCACCTACTTATGTTGTAAAAAAATATAGAACATTTAACAAAATTAGATGATGGACAAACCACATTAGATGATAGAGTGTAGCTTAGTTGTACTTCATTCTTTGTTTACTATTTCTATAAGATGTATTAAATATTTTAGTTTCTTGTATCTATAATCATATTGCTTCAAAATATCATACAATATTAACTGAATTTTAATCATTTATGCGCGCTTATAATTTATATACGTATCACAGTTTTCATAAATTTAGTAGCTGTCATTGTAATAGCCACTCCAATTATGGCATGATTTATATCATTTTTATCAGCTATAACTGGTTTTAACTTACTTTTGTAATTCATTTTGCCTGCTTTCAATCTTTCCAAGATTAAAATTAATTAAATTTTTTGCCATTGTACCTATTTTATGCGATCATATTTATGAGAATATTATACCTAATTGAAATAGGTTGCAATAATTTAAGTCATTGTCATTACACATATAGTACTATAACAAATATAACAAAAATTATAATTTTGTTCCTGTATCTAAATTAAGCAGTTGCTTCATAATTTCATATGTAGTAAAACTGACTGCCACCATAGGTATACCACGAATATAATTTATACTCATTCCACGGTATAGCCCTTTCATAATACCATTTTCATTATATGTTAATTTCATAGTTGATAGCATGCTAGAGCTGTAGAAACAAAACATTAACATATGAAATTATTTATATTCACATATAATTATTTATATTAATCATCAGAAAAGTACTAAATGCAATAACATACAATAATAAATTTCTCTTATTCTATATATTAATATAAAAATGTTTACCTATATTTGTGTGTAGCTGGATTCATCATAGCTAACTGCATGCGTCTTCTTGTCACATCTAAAGGATAAGAAAAACTCTGTGCTACTGCTCCTGCCAACCCTCCGCAAATAACTTTTGCAGGTAGTGTTAAAACAAGACCACCTAAATGCAATAAAAACATATCAATGACAGTGAATGCTATTAATGTTAATACTGAAGTAAAAATAAATATTTTAGGGTAGATTGTTTACATACCAGTGTTTCTATCGCATTTAGAACAAAAGTAATTTGGTGCATACTTCATACATAAATATTTTAACTTCTCAAATGAATAAAATGAAAAACCTGCATATGGTATCATTCCAACTATAGTCGGTAAAAACCCTCTATATAGCGCCCTAAAACCACCTTCCTAAAATGCAATAAATTAATCAAATATAAAATAATGCCTAATTTTAAAACAAAAATATATGTTTATATATGATATGTAATACATACATCCTTAAAAATTGAAGCAGCTGTATGAATAATACCAGTATAAAGATGTTCTCCAGTAACTTGGAAAGCAAGGCGTGCCCTAATTGTATCAAGTGGATATGTTAATGTTGCTGCTGTCACTCCAGCTGCAGATCCAGCAAAAAATTTCTCTATATGTCTACGCTTTTCAAACAAGGATTTTAAGTACTAAAAGAAATAATGAAACAAATATAAATTTTATATTCCTCCTCTTATATGTAAAAAGAACAAATTAATTAAATGTAATCACCTTGGAATAAAATTCAAATGCAGTAAATTGAATTGCTGCATATGGAAAAATTCTTATCATTTGAGCCCAGTTACCTTTATACAAAGCAAAAATTGTTTCCCGTTTAATAATTTCTTTTAATCCAGAGAAGACACCTATAATAAAATATAATATTAAATCTTTTATAACTTGCAAATAACATAGTTAGTGACTAAAATATAATATTTTTACCCAAATGTTTATAGTGATTATTGTGTGCTTGCAATAATATTTTGATTCTATCTAATGGAGCAACTGTTGTCTTCGAACAAATACCAGCAACACCTATGTAGAAATAAATTTTCCATTATATATCATAAAATATATATATATTATAAAATAAAAATCAAATAATTCATTCTTTATCATGTTAATATGGTGAATATTATGTTTAATAAAAATTACGCTACATAAAATGCTACTAGGACAAAGTACGCTCGAAAAAAATTTTACTAATGTTTTTATAAAAAATTTTAATTAATTTAATATCTTACCGCCGGCCAATAGACTTTTAATAAAAAATTCGAAATCTTTTTTCTTTTCAATGTGAAATTCCATTTTTAGTATATATTAGTATTAATGAATGAAGTTGAGAGAAAAAATTGATCACTTTCAACCGACCTAATATCGTGTATTTTTCGTTGTGCTGTAGCGTCGTTATCGCACATGCTCTGCCGCACTACTATATACTCTTTATACTAATTTCCATTCCTAATAACTACGAATGGACTATAATTTAAAATTTTAATTTTGTTTTTTCAAGAAATGTAACAACGTAACGGTATTGAATAATTGATTACTTGTGATTAGTATTTCTTGAATTTAAATGAATTTTCCTTTGATTTAAATGTAATAATCAGTGATTTTATCATAATAATTTAATTGAAAAATTCTAGGAAGGAAAAATTTCGTTTATCACTTGTAAAGTGTACAATACACGGAGCTATATAGATCTGTATATATTGGTTCGTTCATTATTACAATCATAGAATTTTAAAACGTAAATATGATATTGTAGTTCTAACAAAATTTATTAAAGGAAACTCGCATCGAAAATATTTCTTTCGTAGTTAATTATAGTCTATACTAGTGCAATTTAAATAATTTAAGAGATTTACATAACCTTTTAGATAAAAATTTTACATAAAAAAGTTATGCCATTTTAAATAAAGTTTTTATAACAAAACCGATAAACATCGTAGTACATAACTTCAAGTAATTAACTTATATATTTATTTATTTATTTATTTATTTATTTATGTAATATATTTTACAATTATAAATAGAATTATATTTTATCGTAATTTAAAATAATCAAATCCATAATATATTATCCTCCGATTCGAGTAATCCTATTATTTAATTTATCTTTTACCATTTATAAATATTTTAGATAGATAATGTAAAGTTAATTTTAAATCTATGATATTCGCTTTCAGAAATGGACCAGGCAGCTCACATGAATAGCATAAGCAAAGCATGCAATGAATTTAAGAAGCAATACGATTCCTGCTTTCATGTGTGGTTTTCTGAGAAATTCCTGGAAGGTGACAAAAATGACTCTACGTGTGATCAATTACTGGAAATCTATCAGCAATGTCTTAAGGTAATTTCAATAAAACTTATTTTATCTTAGGTTTTCTACAACTTGGTGATCTGTAGAATTTATCATGGAGATGTGCAGTGAGCTAAAGAAAAATTATGATGCCTGTTTCAATAAATGGTTCGCTGAAAAGTTTTTAAAAGGAGATACAAATGATTCAATGTGTGCTCCTTTTCTCAAAATATATAAAGCTTGTGTTATGGTAAGTTGTTGATTGATGGTTCATTAAGAAAAGATATAACTATTATAACAGAAATGTTATAAATGATCATGGACCATATCAATAATAAGATCTTTACTTTTTCTATATATTCTTTAATATACTTCGTAGTATATAATGTATATGTAAGTAAATGCATGAAATGTAAATAAATTTCAACAATTCGATGATGTTATATATATCAATTTTTAGTTACTCTAACACAACAAATTTTTTTTGTTTTAGGAAGCTATGAAGGAACAAAACATTGAATTGAAAGAAATTGAAGAAAATCATTTAGGAACTGAAAAAGAAAAAAAGCAGCCAAGTTGACAATAGGACAATAGTAAATCTATATATTAATTTTCAAATAAATTAACTCTTAAAACAATGAAATAATGATAGATAGACATATTCTATGAAACTGCATATAATTTATATTATTTATAATTACGCAAACTAGTATATTAAATCTTTCACAGTTAAAACATTGCACATAGAAACATTCTATTAAGTATATGCTAAATATTTTTATGTTTCCTCTTTTTATTCTACAAAATGTAGAATAATATTAAATAAAATATCATTATATAATAATTAATGTACTTATGTAAAATTGTAATTCTTACTTTAATAGATTATATATGCATTGGATTTACTTATGCATGCATTTTATAGAACATTCCTTTTAATTGTAAAAATATATATCCATAGTTTAAATTATAAGCTATAATTTATACGTTTTTATATCGATTTATCTATACATTTGAAATTTTATATATATATGTAAATTTTATATATATATATAAATTCTTATGTTAAATAATTAAGTACTCTATGTAATATTTTTCATTTCTATAGTACATTTTATATCGCCTAAATTAAAATAATACAAATTAAAGAGACACAATTTAAATCTTAATTATTATATTTAATAATATAAAGACCGGTGATCATAGATGTGAAATACAAAATATTTAATAGTGTGACTGTAAGAAAACTATACTATAATTACTACATGGAATGAGCAATATAATACATATGTGATATTGTTATATCTTTATGGTATCTTTGATAGATCAAGAATGATAGAGAATGAAAATAATGGAAGTGACTAAGATAGTGAAAATAAAAAATAAAATATTTATAATGAATCTATAGATAAAGAATTATAACACTTATGATAAAAGAAGAACTCTCAATGAATAGGAATGACCAATACAAAATTGTATTAAACATTCAAAAAATGTTTTCATGTTTATCTGTTCTTATTATTCTAAAATTCTTATCTTGATATATTCTCAACTTTCTTCTATTCTTTTTCACTGTCACTTTCATTATCCGAATGTTTCATCTTTTCAGATCTCTGCAATTAATAACATCGATTAATAATATATTAATTCTAGACTATACACATATATTACTTAACACATACCTTTTCTGTTGAACTTTCACCTTCACTACTGGATTCATCTTCACTGATATACTCCTTACTTTTGAAAGAAGATCCAGACATAAGTTTACTAGGTGACATATCCTTTTTAGATTCTTTTTTCTTTTTGTCTTTCTCTTTTTCTTTCTCTTTCTCTTTCTCTTTCTCTTTCTCTTTCTTTTCTTTACTTTTTCCACCACTTGCTTCATATTCTTTCATTGCTGCCGAATATTCTTTTTTGGCTTTTGTCGCTTTTTGTTCCCATTCCTTTATTCCAAATATTAACGTAAATTAATGCGATAATGTTAGAAAATTTTAGAATTTATTTTCGACAATTTTTACTTACAGATTTATCTTTCAATTCTCTCCACATTTCACCACCTTTTTTGGCTATTTCTGTAACTGCAATACCTGGATTTTCTGCTTTAATTTGATCACGAGCGCTATTTAACCATAACATAAAAGCTGTTGCTGGCCGTTTTGGTTTGTTAGTGTCCTTTTCTTTCTTTGATTTACGTGGTTTCCTTGGCTTTTCGGACTGCATAAATAATGATTTTTTTTTATATGTATATATAATACGTAGCGTTCCGCGTGTACTTTTAACAATTATAATTTCATACTTACTATTGTTTTAGCTGATTTAGATTTCTTTTCTTTTTTCTCTTTCTTTTGACTACTATTTGATCCATCAGAATCTTCCTCACTTTCAGAACTCTTAGGATCACTATCATACTCTTCGGCTACATCACTTTCATCCTGTATTTAGACACATAATGTTATAATTATCTTAGAAAAAGAAATATAAAATAATTGAATATAATATAATAATAAAATAATTGAAATATAACCTGATTAGGATTAAAGTCTTCATCTGTAGATTCTTCTTCAGAATCCTGGTTTTCATCGCCATCTCTCTCTTGTGCTTCAGCTTTAACTCTAGCCAAGTATGCATCAGGTTCATCTTCTTGATCGCTATCTCCAAAATCGTTGTCATAATTCAATTTGTCCTATATTAGTAGAAATAATAAAATAAGATGCATAAATATAAATCCACATAGAATATTATATAAATATTTTCATGAAATAATTATTGGCAATACTACATATTTTTTTACTTACACTCTTGCCTCTGTTCTTGACCCTCAATTTCTTTGAAGTGATAAAATCAAAAAGTTTACCATATTCTTCTTTTTCTATACTGCTGAATGTATGAACTACACCTGTATTTAATTCAATTTCAAAGTCAAAAGAACGTGTAGAACCACCACCACGTGCGAAATTAACTGATGTTATTTCTTCAAAGCGTATATGTATAGGTGGTTTATGAACATATATAAAGCCTCTCTCTAAAGGATATAAATATCCTGCAGCCGCTTTAAATGAACATCCTATTGCAGGGGTTCCAGAATGACTACAAATATAATGCAATGTTTAAACATTACAATGTTAATTTTTGTAAAAAATTAAATAAAAATTTCCTTCTCTCATTAAATTTAAAATCTCATACCCAAGAAAATGACCAGGTCCAGTTAATTTTCTGTTGATAATAACTTTCATTACTTTTCCAAGTACCTCATATGTGGGTCCAGATAATTCTTTTGTCAATTTTTCTTCATATTTTTCTTTCAGTTCCTTCCTAAAAATACAATAAATAATAAATAAACTATGCATTTTTGAAATATTTTAGTTGAGAAACATACTCAGAAAATGGTAATTCAATAGAAGTTTCTTCTTCTTGATTAAACAATAAAACCAGGTAATGATATCTAGTTTGACCTTGCTTAATAGGTGGATCTAAACTGACCTACAAGAATATACAATAAAAAGGGATAAAAAGAATAAAATAAAATAAATAATTTTTTTTTACAAAAGAATCTTGAGACAGAACTTACCACAAAATACATTTGTCTATTGTCCTTATGAGGTAGTAAGAATAGTCTAAGAACTGTAGACATAGGAATCTTATAATCAAACGTTTTACCATGAAGTTGAAAAAACGATTGAAATATTTTTATGTCATAACGACCACTGAAAAATAACATATAGAAAATAAATTAAAACTATCAAATATGATCGTAATATCAGTCCCATTATAACTATATAACTATATAGTTCTAATTTATAATTATAAAATTCTAACCGTGGTGTAAGACACTGGATTTCTCTAAAGATAGCAATGGCATCACCACTGACACTAATAACAGAGGCTTTTTCCATAACTTGTTGATGAAATGCTTCTACAGGATCTTGATCCGCACTATCGCTAATAGGGATATGAAATCTCATTTCCATCAAACTAACAGGAGCGTCATCGTTCTGTACAAGGAATGTAAGTTAATTTCAAATCGTTTGATCTTTATATCTAATAAGATATCATAATATTGTTTATAACTATTTTAAAACATACTTGATGAAACTCCAGTGTTACTTCATTTTTCCCTGTATTACACTGTGAAACATCATATAATGGAATTTCAAATGCTGTATGATTTCCAACATCAAAGCTTAAGACAGATCCATTGAATTTAGCTGTACCCCAATTCCAACCTTTCAAACTAAGTTCCTTTTCCAGCATATCCTTTTTATAATTTACTGAGAAAAATTTTGCTATTTTCTCTTGGTCCTATATAATACATATACAAAGAAAAATATAATCACTCTAATTTGTATAAATATGACATCTTATTTAAAGGTCTTAAACATACCCCTTCTTTAAATCCTCTAAACCTATGCAGGGTTCCATTTTTCAAAAATATACGTAAACCCCAAGTTCCTATAAATTTTTGATAATTTACCATTTCCATATCACTAGCTGATATCTGTTCAACTTTTCCAGTTTTTTGATTTTTAAATATAATATGTTGATCAGTTAATTTTAATCTTCCAGGTGTCTACAAAATAAGTACGATAAGTAATAAATAAATTATCATTATTCTAAGATATTGTACTCTATCTTGTATGTACACATAATATATTTTATTTTTAAGATATTAAATAAATATAAAGCAATACAAAGAGTGAGATTATTTCATTAAAAATACTATAATATAGAGTATAATTATAATATTCTTAAATAATATCGATATAAATTAATAGTATTTTAAATAATAAATAATAGATTCACCATTGCACCCTTAACCTCTGCAATAACATCAGGATATTCTAAAAAGTCCATTTTTAGCTGAAGTTTTGAAGACTATATTTTCAATAATATTTTATATGTTATTTCGTCTAAAAAATTATATAACAAATTACAAATGTCATTTTCAATATTTCAATTATAAATACTTCTTAACCTAATCTAACAATACCTTCAACAATACCTCTTCCTATTTCGGCGTTTGTAATTTTATAAATCGTTGGTCGTAATTGTATTCAGGTTGACCATAAAAATAATTAATAAATGTACCAAATGGACACAGTATGTACAACATTATAAATTTAAATATAACGACATTTTACATTTATTTTTCCTTTTTCGTTTTTTAATAAATAATAAACCGAACTATAAATTAATATATGGTATTTTGAAAAATTATAAAAAATAATAGTAAAAATAAATTAGCTTCTACGAGATATCGATATTTAAATGATTGATTCTTTGTGTAATTTTGATTCTCGCAATCTGATCATCGATTCGATTGTATATTCGAGATTATATACTCGATCGCATTCAACAAAGATGGTATTCCATCTACTTAACTCTTTGATTTATGTTTAGTTTGATAAAATTGACATGTGTCTGTCTATAGATATTGAACTTCATATTTTGTTAGTTATATAGGAGTATACCGGAAACGTTCATACGATAACGAAATCCATATTATTCCTGTAATCCTTGAATAAAAAGTTTTTTTGTGTTAAAAAAAAAAAGAAAGATAAACGATATCAATTAGAATACGATTTGAAAGATGTTGATAACTCAAGATCCACAATGGAACGGCGTCGCGGCATCGGAACTTCAGATGTTTCCAGAGCTTGATTTTTTGGGTACGTGTAATATGCATAACATGTATCATTTTGATAGATTTGTACATAAATAATCATTGTAAATGAAATTAAATCTAACGGATAAACAGAGAAAATCAATGTCAAATAATATTTTATATCCGTATATTATTCTTGCGATTCATTATTTTTTCGACGCTTGTGACGTGATTCTAAATATT